CCCCAAAACCCCAAAACCCCAAAACCCCAAAACCCCTTTATACCCCGGTTTCGTTGAAAGGAATTAATAACCAGAGTATTTTAGCAAATCTGAATTTACACCAACTCTTCAAAGAGGTCAGTTCCGGTCTCGTTTCAGCCAATCTATAATACAATTGGAATGGAAGATGTGTTTCCTGCTACAGGGAAGGTAGATAAGTTGCTCATCTTGGAAATCGCTAAGCGGTTGAAGGCATATCGAACATTCTACGCCAGCGAGGTTATCTCTATCTGTAAAATATTTCACTCTTTTTAACAGATCAAGTGTGTTTCTCTCAATAGGCTCAATATCTTCTTGGCCCATAATGTTCAAAAGTCTATTATGGAAAGAAGCTCTAGGAGCGTTATTATTCTGAGGAACAGGATCATATGGGAGAAACTCTTCCTCAGGGATTCTTTCAGGTATTGGCTGTCCTCTCCTATTATCCACAAGTAAAGGTAGGCCTATAACTTGGCCTTCTTGAAGGAAAAGAGAATTGTTTCGGCTTCTTCTGATTGCTAAAAGTAAATCCTCTCTTTGTCTCCTCTTTTCTAAAATATTTTGAATGATTCATGGAGAGCACAAAATATAAAATATAACTAGTGCTGCATAGTAGAATCATCTAATGATGGCTATGATGTAAACTATCTTAAATATGATAGTATCCTTTTTACTCATCGCTTCTTCAAAAGTCAGATTCGTAGTCAATACTAGCTCAAGAAGAACATTAGCAAGAATAGTCAGATGGATCAATCAGTGCAAGAATATTATGAAATTAAGCTCTCTCAAACTGCTTCAGAGATGAGTAAAACGAATGAAAAAAAAGCATATATCAATTGCTACAATGATTCTTAGAGATTTTAGTAGCCAAACTCCTTGATTGGTGAGCCCTTCTGATCCAGCAAAGGATATTAATACAAAAATAATCACACTCAGAAGAGTAAATAGAATGAATTTAAAAAAGTTCTGGATCTGGCCACATGTAGTATACGCTTTCCGATACCATAACCAATTATAAAACTCATCCATCAGTTGCTTTACCCACATTTTCTCAGATATTTCAATTAATAAATCATCTTACGGGGTTTTGGGGTTTTGGGGTTTTGGGGTTTTGGGGTTTTGGGG